AAGAGAATATTTGTAGCTGAAGGTTGAACTATGGGATCCTTGGTGCTCTTTGAGCTTGGTTATTTTCTTGCTGAGTGCTGATGACATTATCTAGTTTGGTAATGAAACATCTCCAAGAAAACAACCAAGCTCAGAGAGCACCAAAGACAGTGTCTATGTCTGAACAGCATTTTATTAAATCGGCTTTGAGTCAAGTCAGCTTGACTATAGGGCAGGAACAACTTAAATAATAAATCCAGATATGCCCTTAGTCAGAACTGAATGTGTTTCAGAATATAATAAACAGTCTGGAATTGGGGACAGATCTAAATTTTCCAACTTTCTGTTACAAACCAAAGTGTACACTAAGGAATATATTTTTTAAAATGTGTAGATGATGTCCACTAAAATGCAAGGAACCAGAAAAATTGCTACAAGAATTTCGGGCTTCCGCTTGAGACCTTGCTGCGATGCAGACGCAGGAAGACGGATTCCGTCTTTCATGTCTGGTTTCTCTCCACTGGGAAACCCTGGAAAGGGGTGAAAGCCGCCCCGAAGAGGTGGCAAGCAAGGAAGGGACTATCATTGATCGCGGGGTGGTGGTGGCAGCCCCTGTTTGATCCGAGGAAGCCCTCCAAACCGCTGGAGGAAAGACTGGCTGTGGACAATGGAAGTCGACAAGCACTACCAAGCAACCTTACAGCAACATACAGGGCATTTTTTGTCATAGAACACCCCGGAACACAGTTCTGGCACCTTTTTTCAATGGATTTTCCAGAGTTACATTCTTTTCCTATTGTTGCCCTTCCTATCCTTGTTTGTTTTTGAAAAGGCCCTGCTGGCAGTACGGTGCGAGTGGGGTCCCCTCTGGCACTGTCTGCCTCCTCTAGGAGGAACCATGAGGCACCAGAGCACCACAGCCAGTGCGTGGCTTGATTGGCTAGGTCAGAAAGCCGATGGTGCCGGTAGGAAACACATAATAAAATATACTTGGCAAATACAGCCTTTTAAAAATTAACAAAATTTGTTAATGGTAACTTGAGATCATCCTAGCACATTAACATATAAATACATCTGCTGGACCGTCTCTCAACTCCATTTTTGCCAGTCTTTGGATTTTTCTTTCCAGAATGCTGTAATTTGGACTGATTTTGATGGTAGTCATTAGATAACCTGCTTCTATTTTTCTGGCCATTCACCACCATGTTCTTGGATTCTCCCAACCACTTTATTCCCACAGACAATTTGCCCCTGTTGCATTTAGTCCTTCTTCCAAAGCTGTAGTTAACTGTAGTTCTGTTTCCTCCTAGAGAAATCTCATCCTGGCCTGACTCTCTGAAATGCCACAGGAGTGCAGGAATGTCAGCTGTCATAGCTACTAAATCCCAAGCGGGTGTTCGGGAGTCTCGGTCATGAGTGGCCCAGAACCACTACTTTCCAGCCCTTTTCCTACAAACTGCAGGCTCCCAGACTCTGCTCTTCCGGGAAGAGCCCATGTATTTATTTATTTATGAGACTTATATACCGCTTTAAGTGCAAGCACTCTCTAAGCGGTGTACACCAGTAAGCAATGTATATATATATTTTACATTGCCCCCAACAATCTGGGTCCTCATTTTACCTACCCCGGAAGGATGGAAGGCTGAGTCAACCTTGAGCCGGTGAGATTTGAACCGCTGACCTGCTGAACACAGTCAGCTAAAGTGGCCTGCAGTACTGCACTCTAACTGCTGCGCCACCTCGGCTCATCCTAAGATCCGTACCTTCAAGGGCCAACACTGAAGTGAAAGCCCCCAAGGCCTAACCCCGAAGGAGCTTAGCTGCAGTTTCTCTAGGTCCTTGGAAACGCCAGCACAGGAAATGACCCAAGACAGCCACAGGCTTATGGAAGCTCATAAGGGGGTGTGCTGAGTCGGGATCTCTAATTGGTAGTGGTCTCTCACAATATCGTCAGGCTCCCGCTACCTCCTCCAGCTTGACAGGCACCTCCGGCCCTGCAAGGGAGGTCCAGTTCCTTCCCTCGGAGCTCTGTCAAGCATCGTCTGGCTCCCCCCTCCCCCCTCTCCCCGCTGCCCTCTCACCTCGACTGGTCCTCCCCTCAGCCCCACTCCCTATCGCATTGCCTTTCTCTCCAGGGAGAGGGAATAGATCCCTCCTAGGCCGAGCCCCATGGGACATAAAGGTTCTCCCCACATTTTCTCTGTGAGGACCTTTTCTCTCCTCAGCTATGAGAAGCATCCCCGCACACAGCTCCCTGTCCCCAGGCCCAGGCAGGCCCAACCTAGCAGGTCTCGATTTTCCTTCCTGCCCCCTCCCTGGAATAAACATGGATGCCATCTTTCACAAGAGGGTGAGTGAGCCTTTTGCCTTCCCTTACAGAAGATGAGGTGTGAGGTTAAAAAGAGGTGAAGTGAGAGGAAAGAAAAGCGGCTGGCGTGGAAGTTTGCCTGACAGTGAAACCTTGCTGTTTCAGTTCCTTGGGTAGTTCAAAGGCTGGGATGTCTACAAAAATCTCTTTTTAGTCTTTTATACTTTATATTCAAACTGCAGAGGGGAAGAATAAAAATAAAGCCAATGTCTTGTGATTTGGAGATATTGTTATTAATAATATATATTAATTATGTATTGGTCAGATGTAAAGGTAGACCTACAGTATGAGGTTTAATCAATTATTATTTTAAAGAAAAAGACTTGGAAAGTTATCATATAAGTTTTGGAGCTAAAACCTGAAAAGTGGTGTTGATGACATCTAGTGGGGAATCACGGCACTACAACTTATTTACACCTAAAGGAAATCTGGCTTGAAGCCCAGAACTAGATAAGACTTTGGCTGGCCTTGGAACTACCAGTATTTTGTTACTGAGAATTACAGTAGAGAAAAAGGGAGCAGGCTTGGGGGTTGCTTATCTATGTGGCAGAGATGATAAACATTTTAAATTTGGCCTGTCTGAACTCTGAATATAAATACTGACTCTCAGAACTACATTGTGGATTTATTTTTATTTTTTTTTTGTAGAAGAAATACATGGAACACTTTGGATAACAAATCTTGATTGTTAAACAACCCTCAATGATTCTTCTTTCTCCCTGGACAGAAAAGACATATTTTTTTACTGGACAGAGAAATTTGAACTTTACTTATATCTGCTTAGGGGAGATTCAGGAATGGACAGTCAGTTGGATAAATCTATAAAGGCTATTTATAAAAATAAAATAAAATAAAATGGATGATTCATAGCAGTAAATAATAAAACGTCATCTTTAACATTTGCAGCCTTAACTTGCTATGTCACCAAGAAAATACTGACGAAACACAGAAAGAAATTCTCTCCATGTTGAAATTAATACAAAAAACAATTATTTTAGCTTGTGAGCAGGTTACTAATAACACAAAGGAGATAAAAGAACAATTTTTAATTCAAATCTACACAGTCAGAAGACAACTACAGAGAAGGAACCAGCAACTCAGAAAATAGAAGGAAAACTAGAGAATGATGACACAAATATTGAGGATCCAAAAGAGGAAACAAACAACCAGATTCAGATAAATGAAAACTCAGAAGATATAATGATAATACTGGAAACGGAAAAGACATTTTATAAATTAAGGTTTCAGAACATACTGGATGACAAGGAAGGAGAGCTGATGGAATGGAAGATAAAGCCATTAATAGAACTGTGGGGAACCAGAGAAAGAGGGAGGCGGTTTAAACGGGCTAACTCTTCCAAAAATATTTTAACTGAATTGTTTCTTTTGTTCCAAATAATATATATAAAAATAGAGGAAGAATTATTTGATGATCCAATGCACTGACTTGGAAAGCTAATTGGCAAAGAAAGAAATATAGAGTAAGATTGAAGGAAACAAAAGCTTTGACCTATTAGAGGGGATGCTACATTATTGATTAGAAGTTTGAATATGGTTAAGAATAGATTGTTAGAAATAGAAATATTATTATAGCTAGATAGTTAGGATTTGTAATTAGAATATTATATCTTGGTATGAGAAGGAAAATAAGAATATGTTAAGAATATTTTGGTTGCCCAAATATAACTTGTTTTGAAATTATAAATGATTGGGATACTTTGAATATGGATATGGATTAAATAAGTGGAAATTGAATGCAAATGCAATTAAGATATGCTTTGGCTAGGAAAGATATTTTAAACTGATATTGATATTATTAGAAAAATGTAACAAATGTTGATATGCACTTGTATGTTTATTAACAATAAAAGAATTGTATTTGCTTAATGCGGAAAAAATGTTATTACCAGAAGAAGAGAGGATGTATTGGCAGGTGTAACATTGCACTTAGTTGGAAAAACTTATATGTATCACTGAATTACTAATGGACTCAGTCATCCTGTTGTCTATTGAGCACTTGCTTGTGAAAATAGAAAATTAATAAAACATTTATTTTAAAAAAATCAGTAGATAGGCTACAGCCTGCAAGTCAGGTACTTCTGAATTAGCAAACCAGAATATGTTATACAAAAATAAAAATATAGAATGGAATATGCAAAAAAATTAATTATGCATGTAGTTTCAATTTGGATAATTTATAAAGGTGAAGAAATTCATTTTTCGTGGTACCAAACTAATTGATTTTAAAGTACAACACAACATTCTTAAGCCAGACTGCTTAATTAAGATATTTTAAATCTTAATTAAGCAGTCCGGCTTAAGAATATTTATTAATTAGGATCTGAATAGTACGGGACTATGATCTATAATGCATAGGTGATAGAAATCTTGCTTAGAATATTAAATAATTAATATGGCCACTTAACTCTTATGTGATATTCCTATTTTGTTTCTTCTCAGTACAGTGGTAATTCTGCTTTTTTTTTCTTTTCCACAAAAGATGTAGGGTGGATTCAGGGCATCAATTATCAGGTTCAGAGTATATTCCCAAAGAGAACTAATGTCCATTTAATGCAGCTCTTGCCATCAGAATTTTGCTTGTGCATGTGTGTGTGTGTGTGTGGGTAATTAAATGCATTCTTACCTGTTTCAGCCTCAAGCATTACTACGTTCACTGGAGAGCCCAATGTCTGTCCACACTGCTCCAAGAAAGTCTATTTTGGTGAGTTTTCTGAAGATCTCCTGTTTGCATTGGACCTGAACTATATTTATCTCACAAGTACAATGGATCTTGCAGCTCTGTGAAAGAAGCACACTTCATTTGGAAATAGTAGATTTTTTAAAAGGAAATTATCCTAATTTTATTGTGGAAAATACAAAGTATTGGTTTTTTTTTATACATATGAGATCATTACTGTTCTCTGAGATGTATCATAGCAATATAACATTCCAGCCACATTCACACTTACTTTGCTCTAATGCAGTGGTTCTCAACCTGTGGGTCGGGACCCCATTTGGGGTCGAACGACCATTTCACGGGGGTCACCAAACAATGCAGTCTGCCATTTTTCCCCCTTTTTCTTAGCTGTGCTACTCCCTTTTATTCTATTGGCTTTTGAAAGCCAATAGAATAGACTCTCTTGAATAGAGTCTAATTCTATTGGCTTTCAAAGCCAATAGGAATTGTCCAGGCTGTCTCTGCCCTGCTGAGCCCGCCAAAAGTCCCATTCTGCAAACGGTGCTGCACCAGTTGAGTAGTCCTCGACTTACGACCGGTTGAGTAGTCCTCGACTTACGACCAGTTGGGGGTCACGGCATTAAAAAGGTTGAGAACCACTGCTCTAATGCCATCCTATCCCAGCCTGTCCCAGATCTGATATAAAATCATGCTGTTCTAAATCTTGTTTGCCCCTTATTGGACACCAGAATGGGTTAGTGCTATCCAAATAACCACAGCTAGCTATATGCTGAATACAGAAAGCTCTTCATATGAATAGCTGGGGCTGGAATTTCAGCAAAGGAAATCACAAATCATAATTTTTAGAACTGTGTGTTTGGATAGCACTAACCCATTTTGAATACAGAAAGCTCTTCATATGAATAGCTGGGGCTGGAATTTCAGCAAAGGAAACCACAAATCATAATTTTTAGAACTGTGTGTTTCATGCTGTCAGGGTTGATTTGCAAGGCATTTCTTTCTGCTCACAACTTGACAAGAAGCTAAGGGAGTGAGATTGGGTATGATTGGAATGTGTGGGAAGCTGGGAGGGAAAAAAAGAATTTATGTGAGCTGTTTACAGCCTGAGAAATTCTCATAACCCCAAGATCAGATGCTTTAGAAAAGTGCAGACTGTTTTCCCAAAATAAAATGTTTAACCTGGATTGGTGGACAGTGGACACTGGGTAGCCCAGGGGGAGGAAAAGGGATTTTTACTATGCTGTGCTTCATGCCAAAACCTTAGAACTGGCTTTGCTTCTTCTGTGCCTATATGGATATGTCAGTAAAGTTTTACTCTTGGTAACAAAAAAATATCTCAGGAGTTTCTTTTGCTGTACATGCACTGCATTTTTCCCATCCTAAAATTAATCAGTTGAGACTTTTTCAATGAGAAGTTTATGAGAAAAGGAAGATAAACATCTTTGAATGATTGATGTATAGGTGGTTGCTGTTGTGGCTGCTGAAGGACTAATCAATCAAATCTAATAAATTCTGACTGCTTTCTTGAAGCAATATAGCAAGCAGAAACTCACATAATAAGCATGTAATGCAAGTAGATTGTAACAAAATGCAGAAAATAGAATGCAGTCTGCTGTTGTGTCACATGGACTCCTGGATATGCATACTGTTCTTGTCCTTTGATAAGCATAAGCTGGGGAACCGGCATGGGAAAAGGAGACAGGCAATTACATTCACATAGTGACATTCTCATTAGGAAGGGAACTTGAAAAGGGGATGATGTGCTGGAAGAAAAAGAAGACTTAATTCAGATGGAGATTTTGGGATTTGGAGGAGGAAGAAATTAGCAAATGAAAAAAATGGATTTAGGCAGTTTTAGCTGCTGAAATTATATAGATTCCAGGGTGACACAAGTTTAGTGAAGCAATTCAGAGTGGACCAGGAAAAGACTATTGATTAATAAACAGTAATATACAATAATATAACAGTAATAATAGTAAAATAAATCAGCTCTGAGAAGATGTGCCTAATAGGGAAGATCCAAGAAATTTTTGGAGGTAATCAGTCAAGCATTATTAATTTTATTATTCATCTCTGAAGAGAGATATCTATTGATACTATAAGGGGTAAAAAAATCACAATTTGTGCTGTGATTGATAACCTCTTGATTATTATTGATTAAGAAAAAGATTGAGGAAAGAAAAACAGGAAGGAAATGAATAATGTAGATGGATAAATCGAAGCTGCACTCCCTCTTGACAGATTGTTTTGCGTATGTTTGTTGGGGTGCTGCTGTTTGGTTCTCCATATTTGGGTATTGGGTGCTCCTGGGTAGATGCATAGCTGGGTGCCCTGAGTTCAGGTCAGATGTGTCTCTGGTCCTACTGGGAATGAAACCGCCTCCTATTGTCAGTTGATCATGCCAAGGGCTGTCAGTTTGCCCACATTCCCAATAGCCAGGGTTTCCATGGCCAAAGCTTGTTGGTGCCCAATGGAAATCAAAGACTGCTGTGTCTGATAAGGTGGGCCTGTTAATTGCCAGCCTTTTTTCCACTTCTTTCTAATATGAAATTGTTTGGACAATCTTTTGGAAAAAAGCTACAAAGTTGATGGCTATCTACTTGCAGAATCGAAGTAGTAAAAATACTAGCACAAGGCAGGTTTATTTCTAAGTTAAGCATTATGAGATACAACCCACTTATATTCCAGATGCAGTACATTCATTCTCATACTGCACTTCATTGCTGAGCAAGCATATTACTTGCTTCTGAGCTCTACTGCTAAGTTCCAAAAGCTACAATGAAGCTTCTTTGAGAATGAGCCAAGCAAGCTTGATGATAGAAGATTGACCAATGAACTGTTCATTGGCTAAAAGTTTAGCTAATCTCACTGAGAGAACATACTATACCAATCTGTGGGGAATGATGGCCACAGAGCAGAAGCAGATGTGAAGGACTACAGTGAAATGGCAGTTTCCCATGAAGGAGGAAGCACAAGGGAGGGGGAGAGACAAGCAATATGGCTTGGAAATGGTTAGGAAAAAGAAAGTGGTCAGATAGCCACTCCCTAGAATCTTCTGGTTTATGTCTTTTAGGCTCAGAGAAGTAAGAGTTTAGTCTGGCAAGATGCTGTCTGTTATAATACTGTTATACATACCCAAGGATTAAAGTCAGGCTAAGCCCAGATACGATGTGAAACAACTCAGACAAAGTTCAATTTTGTATTTGCTTAAAACAATAGACAGCGTCTTGCCAGACTAAACCACGGTTCTTAAGGAACTGGCAAACATGATCTCAGAACTACTGAATAAAATCTTTCAAAGCTTCCGAAGCACTGGGGAAAGAGGATTGTAAAACAGCTGATGTGCTTCCAGTCTACAAAAAGCAAAAAAAAAAAAAAAAAAAGTGGATCCAGGAAATTACAGACCAGCCTGACATCAATAAGCGGGAAAATCCTGGAAAAGATAATCAAGCAGCACGTTTGTGAGTTTCTAGAAACATACAAGACAATTACTAGAAGCCAGCATAGGTTTGTCAAAAACAGATTATGCCACACAAGCTTTATTGTCTTCTTTGATTAAGTGACTAAACTAGTGGATTAGAGAAATGCTGTGGACATGGTTGATTTAGACTTCAGTAAGGCATTTGACAAAATAGACCACAGCCTACTTCTTCGTAAGATAGAACAATGTGGAATAGACAGTACCATCACCAGATAGATTTGTAACTAGTTGACCAATTGTACTCAGAATGTAGTCCTCAATGGAATTACATGTACATGGAGGGAAGCGTGCAATGTAATACCTCAAGGTTCTGTTTTCGGCCCAGTGCTGTTCAACATCTTCCTAAATGGTTTAATGAGGGGATATAAGGAGAACTCATCAAATTTGCAGACAATACCAATATGGGAGGAATAGCTAACACTTTGGAAGACAGACTCAAGATTCAAAAAGATCCTGACAGGCTTATCAAAAACATGTAATTCAGTGATGAGAAAAGTGAGATCCTATGCATACGCAAGAAGAACCAAATGCACAGGTATAGTATAAGTGATACCTGGCTCAACAATAGCAACTGTGAGAAGGATCTAGGTGTACTAGTACAGGGCTTTTCAGAGATTGTAGTACTTTTAGGACATGACAATATTCAAGTACCACCCAGTAGAGGGGAAGGATTTTGGGTTTTACTATTAGATTCATTTGTTGTTATAGAAATGGCTAGTTTATAATATTATGGAAAAGTAAAAAGTTGAGGTTCAATGTTAATGCTTCCTGCTACTGCAACAGAGAAAGATGGAAGTCAATGCCTTTTCTTTTTCCCTTCCCCCCCTCACTTTTTTCCTTTTTTCTTTCACCCTTTGCTCGCAAAAGCCCTTCAGTCTCTCTCTCTCTCACACACACATTCTCCCAGAAAGCCTTTCCTGTCTCTCTCACCCACTTCTCCCAGAAAGCCTTTCCTGACTCTCTTACACATATCTTCCAGAAAGCCTTTCCTGTCTCTCACACATTCTCCCAGAAAGCCTTTCCCCTGCCTCTCTCACACACTTCTCCCAGAAAGCCTTTCCTATCTCTCACACATATCTCCCAGAAAGCCTTTCCTGTCTCTCTCACACACTTCTCCCAGAAAGCCTTTCCTCTGCCTCTCTCACACAACACATACTTCTCCCAGAAAGCCTTTCCTTTGTCTCTCTCTCACACACTTCTCCCAGAAAGCCTTTTCTCTGTCTGTCCCACACACTTCTCCCAGAAAGCCTTTCCATCTCTCACACACACTTCTCCCAGAAAGCCTTACCTCCCTTTGTCATACACTTCTCCCAGAAAGCTGGGCTCCAGCTGATCAGCATTTCTGGAGGGCTCAGCAGAAGCACTGATCAGCTGTAGCTGCATGTGCCAATCCTGGGCTCCTGCCCAGCTCACTTGCTCACCCTTCCCCCCAAAACAGGTCGCTTGTTAAACATGCCGCTCGCTCACGCGCCTTTCCCCCAAAAATATGACGCTCGCTAAACATACCGCTTGCTCATGCGCCCTTCCCCAAAAAACACGCTGCTTGCTAAACATGCCACTCACTCATGCGCCCTTCCCCCCAAAGCACACCACTCGCTCACTAAGCTGGCCACTCACTCATGCACCCTTTGCGCAAAAACACACTGCTTGCTAAACATGCCGCTCACTAACTCACCTTTCCCCCGAAAACACGCTACTTGCTAAACACGCCACTTGCTAACTCACCCTTCCTCCGAAAACACACCGCTCACTCACTCACCCTTCCCCCGAAAACACACCACTCACCCTTTCTCCGAAAACAGGCCGCTTGCTCGCTCGCCCTTCCTCCAAAAGCAGGCTGCTAACTCTGTCTTTCGTCACTGCTTTGGTAAGAAAAGCCTCTTCTCTTCTTGCTCTGCCCCTTTTATACATCTCTCTGCCATCCTCCTCCTCTCTTCTGGGTACGCCGGAAACTCCAATTACCATGTCACCACGTATGCCGATCCTGGGGCTTCTGCAAGCTGCACAGTTCCAGCTGATCTCCTCCGGGTCTGTGCGGCGCTGCTTTAGCTGGTTCTCTCCTCCGCTACACTTGGCTAGGGCTCGCGTACCACCAGCCAGGTGCTAACGTACCAGTGGTGATACATGTACCACCGATTGAAAAGCCCTGTCCTAGTAGACCACCATTTAAGAATGAGCCAGCAATATGGTGCAGTTGCCAAAACAGCTAATACAATCGTAGGCTGCATCAGGAGAGGGATAGGTTCAAGATTATGTGAAATAATAATGCTACTTTATTCTGCACTGGTGAGATCACCCTTGAAATACTGTGTCCAATTGTCACCATGATACAAAAAAGATGCTGGGACCCTAATGAGCGCAGAGAAGAGCAACAAAAATGATAAGGAATCTGGAGGCTATATCATATGAGGAACAATTGAGGGAACTAGGCATGTTTAGTCTAATGAAGAGTGATACTATTAGGGATGATACAATAGCAGACTACCAGTACTTGAGGTCTACCATAGAGAAGAGGGTATTTACCTATTCTCCAAAGCATCTGAGGGCAGGACAAGAAGTAACAGATGAAAGCTTATCTAAGAGAGATTCAACCTAGAATTAAGGAGTAATTTCCTGACAGAACAATTAATCAGTTGTAATGGCTTACCTCCAGATTTTGTGGGTGCTCCATCACTGGAGGTTTTTAAGAAGATACTGTCAACCATTTGTCCAAAATAGTATAAGGACTCCTGCTTGACCAGTAGTTGGACTAGAAGACTTCCAAGGTTTCATCCAACCCTATTGTTCTGTTTAATCCTTGCTATTCTAATGGATATACACTGGGAGGTTCTAGGGAGTGGTATCCAAATTCTCTCTCTGTTTCTTACCAGTTTTCAACTGTACTGCATTGTCTCCCCCCCTCTCCCCCCGCCATTTCTGGAAACTGATGCCTTAATGTGGTACTTCACAGCTGCTCTCCTTCTGTAATGCTCCCTTCTATAGTCATCTCTTACATAATCAATGATAAAAGACAAAGAACAAGGTGGCATCACCAAAAGTTCCAATGTCAGTACAGAGAAGGAATGATGGATGCAAAAGTCAGGGGCCAGACAGGATGGGGAATCGGACCAAGAGCCACTAATAGCAACTTTCAGTACATTTGGCTAGCAAGCATAATCCAAAGTTCAGTTTTATACCAAACTTTTTCATGCTGTTTTAGGCTCTCTTTCAAAGCTTAATATTCTTGGTGGCAGCTTCCTAATTATAGATCTTCTGATGGGAAGATACAAACATAACCTATCAATCAGAATAGAGCTGGAAGGGACCTTGGAGGTCTTCTAGTCCAATCCCCCGCTCAAGCAGCAGACCCTATATCATTTCAGACATGTCTGTCCAGTCTCTTCTTAAAAGCCTCCAGTGATGGAGTACCTTCAACTTCTGAAGGAATGCTGTTCCACTGGTTAATTGTTCTCATGTTGGAAGTTTCTCCTTAATTCCAAGTTGCTTTTCTTCTTAATTAGTTCCCATCCATTGTTTCTTGTCTTACCTTTTGGTGCTTTGGAAAATAGGTTGACCCCCTCTTTGTGGCAGCTCCTCAAATACTGGAATACTGTGGCCATATCATCTCTAGTCCTTCTTTTGTCTAGACTAGCCATACCCAATTCTTGCAACCATTCTTCATTTTTTCCAGGCCTTTAATAATCTTAGTTGCTCTACTCTGCATTTTTTCCAAAATCTCAACATATTTTTTATAATGTGGTGGTCAAAACTGAATGCATTATTCCTGATATGATTTTATAATACTTCACGTGATTTTGATTCTATGCCTCTGTTTATACAACCAAGGATTGTATTAGCTTTTTTGGCTGTTGCCGCACTGCTGGCTCATATTTAAGTGATCGTCCACTAGGACTCTAAAGTCCCTCTCACAGTTACTGTTTTTGGGTCAGGTCTTGCCTAATCTGTACTTGTATCTTTGGCTTTTCCTGCCTAAAACTTTGCTTTTCTCCACATTAAATTTCATGTTATTGGATAGGGCCTATTGTTCAAGTCTATCAAGATCTTTTTGGATCCTGAGCTTTTCTTCTGAGGTGTTGGCTATTCCTGGCAGCTTAGTATCATCTGCAAATTTGATGAGTTCCCCTTCTATTCCCTCATCTAAGTCATTTATGAAGATATTGAAGAGTACTGGGCCTAAGACAAAATCTGGTGGTACTGCACTACTTACCTCCCTCCATGTAGATGTAGTACCATTATGGACTACTTGTTGAGTATGGTTTGTCAGCCAGTTACAAATCCACCTGGTGGTGATTCTGTCTATCCCATATTGTTGAGTTTTAAATACAGTTTAAAACTATATTCACTTCAGAATGTAATACTCTCTGAAGGTGTTGAAATCAATGTTGAGGACAAGGATGAAGTATCACGATTCTTATTTTTAACAATATACAACTGCCTTGACTCCAAGTGAGCATATTGATTTACGCCTATAAAAAAAGTTAAACTACATGGATTTTCTTCTGTATTGTAGCTGAGAAGGTGACTTCATTGGGCAAGGATTGGCACCGTCCCTGTCTACGCTGTGAGCGTTGCAAGAAGACTCTTATTCCTGGAGGCCATGCTGAGGTAGGAATCTATTAAGTTGGATTCAGGTTTTATCTTCTGGTGTTTTTGGAACTGAATTGGCAGGCCTTTTGCATATTTTGCTCCTAGATGACATGAAACAAGTTCTGGAAGAAAAACAAGTTTTGGCATGATTTCACATTAATATTTGACATCACAAAATAAACCACATATTGATTATAATTAATTATTCTTTATATTTTAATTGATAATCAACTATTTCCTCCTTACTGTATCCTTTTGTCCCTACTAAATGTCTTTTGGACACTAACTTCCAAATATTCTGATACACTCTGCATTTGATTCATTTATAAACAGGTGTATCTATAACAGTATAATGTATATATGTTGTCTGATTTCTACATTTTCTTACTGATATTTTGGAGGTGTATGTTTTTTGTTTGAAAAATCTACTATATGTTACTGTTTTTAGAAACCAAGTGATGTACCTGGTTGATCTGGGCTGATCATAAAAACTTACAGTAATCATATCTGGTTACTTTTTGGAATGGAGATTACCAGGAAATTCTAAGGTTGTACATTCAACTTACAAGTTAAAAAATCTGAGAAGACAGTGGGGGCAAGCCATGTAATCTACTTGGATATGCCTAGCTATTCACTGAGAATCAAGTAATCAAAGGAGGCTTCACTTTTTTATAGTTCTAATGTGTTGTATTATGGATATAGAAATTCTTAGAACAAATGGCTGCATTGCCACTATGGAAATTAGCTTGATGATGTTGTGGTCCGTTGGCTGCCAGTAGAGCTAGCAGCACAGTCAGATGAGGAGGGGGAGCCTGGGTCAACTTCAGAACTTTTGGAAGGCTCTGATGAGGAAGCAAAAGCAGAGGCAGAGGCAGAGCCATGGCCATTTGTCCGAGTCCAGGTGGAGAGGCAGCTGTCTTTGGGGCCTGAACTGAATCGGGGAGGAACAGATGTGGCCTGATCCAGATGCATAGAGAGGAGAGGAGAGCAACAGAAGGCAATAAGCCAGCTCTCAGGGGAAAGAAGTAGATGCTACCCATCTCCTCCCTGGCTGGGAAATAAATAGTAGGGGTTTGGGAATGGCCTGTTGTCTCAGACAACCATTCGTTTTCCAGGATACATCAATCAAGTCAGATTCCTTTGCCAAAACCCAGGTTTGTTGGGACTACTTGCTCTGTATTTGAGTGCCAACTGAGTCTCCCTGCTGGGAATTAATAGGTAGTGAATTTGCCTCAGCTGGTGTGAACAGGGACTGTTTCTGCTTGGTTAATCATTGAAAGACTAGTTATCTGTAGTTCTCATGTGAACAGAAATGGTTCCTGCCCTGTTTCAAAGGGAAAAAGACTTTCGTTTGGGACTGCTTGTTTTGGTTTTGTCTACCCAGCGTGAACAAAGATTGTTCCTGCCTGGTTTAATAAAAGGGGTTTGTTTACTTGCGAGTAAGTGGTTTCTCATTACTTTCTAAAGCTGGGTCAGAACAGGCGGGAGGTGGATTTTGTCAGCGTCCAATGCCCAAAATGTTTGGAGCTGTTCTTTTTACAGTTTATACATTTTTACATATATTTTATTTCTCTCTCTTTCTCTCCCTCCCCCCCCTTCACACACCCCCACAAAGCCAGCATAGACCTATACATACAGAGATTTTGGTTTCTAGCACCATGTCCCTGTACCTGTCTCTTCTCATTTTTGTCACTTTTCTCACAAAAATTTTCTGTAATAATTTTTAATGCAATCATATCCCTGCCTAACCTGTTTCAAACTTATTTAGCATTTCCTGCACCAGGTTTAAATCAGATGACTTCTGAAGACTTTTCCAAGTCTATGTGATTCTGTTAAAAAATCAACAGCATCCTTTTGCTACTGCAAGACAACTACATGCCAAAAGAATAAGCAATGAAGACTACATGTTCCCTCTAGGTACAGAGAGGTGTTAGATCACTGTTCTGCATTGTTTATCAGTGAGATTTTGGATACAAAATATGCTTGTACCACTTGCTATTAATGAACATGGCTTTTAATTAGGTCAAAGGCTTGTAGTTTTATTCCTTTGAATGCTAGAACCCAGGCAGCAATCTTATGTTGCAATTGTCTTGAAACAAAAAGTGTCAATATTTTAGTATGATAGTTACCAGAGGCTAAGGAGGTTGTTTTATTTTGGGTACCTTCTCTAGAGTAGGTCTTTATATAAACTAGGTGATTTATACTTAATGTGCTTTGAAGTATAAAGTGATTTGAAATAATGATGGGAACAAAACTATTGATTTTGTTCAATAGTTAACAACGCATAGAAAATTGTTAACAGAAAGAGGCTGATCTTATGTCTTACATTAATGTATTCATCTTCTGTTTTTTTCCCCCCTTCTAGCATGATGGACGGCCATATTGCCACAAACCATGCTATGGGATCCTGTTTGGACCAAAAGGTGAAGTGATGGACAGAGATCAGTTTAAATATTGAAAATGAACAGGCTTGTTTATTATTACTTATTTTGTTGGAATTAAGATCTAGTCTTGTACTTAATAATTCAGGTTTAGCAGATTTACAGCAGAGATAACAAAACCTTGGTTGGGGTGAGGGCATAAGTTTTTGAAGTTTATGCTGGGAACCATATTACAAAAGAGTTGGGGTCACATCAAGAAATAGAACATTTTAAAAAGTAGGCCATAATTAATGTAAATATTAATTACATTAATATTATTACTGATATAATGTTCCATAGAATAATAATATTATGCAGATAATATTATCAATAAAGAAGAATATATTACTTCTCAATAATTTATTTCATTTATAGGAGTCCTCGGCTCCCAACCATAATGGAGCCTGCCCATTATGGTAGTAAATTATGACCGTTGTTACGTGAGGCAACTGCATGATCTCCTTGCTTAATGATACCCACCTGTGCTCTCCCTTAAGCATTCATTAAGCAGAGCATGAAGTGCTTCAGGGATAGGGGACCAGAATGCCCAGCCCTGCCTGCTCTGGGTCTCCCAAGGCCTCCCTCACCCAGAGACACCCCATGTTCTGCTTCCCACCCCTAAGGGACCTCACAGGACCTGGGCCTGCTTCCCATTCTGCTGAGCCCCACCCCCCCATCTCCCCTTACCCACCCCTCATCACCTATTGTGCACGTACCTTTTGAAAATCTCTAGAATTCTGGACTTCATGTTGGGGAAGCTTCCGCTGCAAGTATAGAATAGGTAATACCTGGCTCAACAGTAGTGACTATGAGAGGATCTTGGAGTCCTAGTGGACAACCACTTAAATATAAGCCAGCAGTGTGCTGCAGCTGCCAAAAGGGCCAATGCAGTCCTAGGCTGCATTAATAGAGGAATAGAATCAAGATCACTTTGAAGTGTTGGTACCACTTTATAATTCCTTTATAAGACCACACTTGGAATGTTGCATCTAGTTTTGGTCGCCATGATATAAAAAAGATGTTAAGACTCTAGAAAGAGTGCAGAGAAGAGCAACAAAGATGATTAGGAGACTGAAGGCTAAAACATATGAAGAACAGTTGCAGGAATTATGTCAAGTTTAATGAAAAGAAGGACTGGGATGACATGATAGCAGTATTTCAAATATCAAAGGGGCTGCCACAAAAAAGAGCAGTTCAACCTATTCTCCAAAGCACCTGAAGGCAGAACAAAAAGTAATAATCGAGAACCAACCTAGAACAAAGGAAAAATTTCCTGACAGAACAATTAATTGGTGGGATGACTTACTGGATGGGTTGTTGGACTGTGGGTGTTCAAACACTGAAGGTTTTTAAGATTGGATAACAATTGGTCTGAAATGGTATAAGATCTCCTGCATGAGCAGGGAGTTGGTCTAGATGACCTCTAAGGTCCCTTCCAACTGTTATTCTGTTATCCTAGGAGCGGACTCCATTTTCTGAGCAGCCTCAAGTCAGGGGGCCCAAGAATGAAGTAGTCCATCCTGCTTTCCTAATCTGGTCTCCGCAGCATTGCAGAAAGCTCTGGATCTTTCTGGAGCACTGTGGAGACTGCATTAGAGAAGTAGAAGTAGAGTACATCTCTCCATCCCTGGGGCATGTGCTTGTGTCCTGGAAGCAGCTGCCATTTTGTGCAATGCAATAAATTATGGCCATTCTAAAAATGGCAGCTGCTTCTGGGATGCAACCTGCAGCCCATGGATGCTAAGAGATTGAGAGGCCTGCCCTCCGGAGGTCCAAATCTCTAGAAATTTTCAAATGGTAAGTGACTGGGTGTGGAGGAGGGTTTGGGGATACAGCAGAATGAGATGGGGGGACTGATAGGCAGGCAGGTGCTACAGTGTCCCTGTGGTTAGTAGTAAGGGCAAATGACCATAGGAGCTCTGCAGTGGCCATAACTTTGAAACAGGTTGAAAGTAGCTTTTGGAGGGGTCTGTCATAACTTTGAATGGTTGCTGAATGACCAATCATATATCAAGGACCACCTGTAACTACCAAATTCATATAAGTCATGCCTCCAGTTTGGGACATCACCACTGGGAAAATATTTATGAAAATGGAGATTTAGAAAACTAGAAAAATCCACGGTTTAGAAACTAGCATGCCAACATTCAAAACTGAAGATGTTTTGGAGGTGCCTGATAAAAGGCTAATTCAATCAGCAGTGATGACTAATTTATATGTCATGCATGTCACAAATGACACACCATGCCATTTCTGGTGATATGTCGGGTCTCTGGACACTCTGAAAGTTGTATGGGAAGACCTTGCTCTTGCACAGCTTCTGAGGTGCTCTTGTCCAGTTAGTGATGGTGGCACACCAACAAGAACTGAAAAAACAACAACATTTTTTTCTGTTCCTCCATCAACAGGTAGTCCTAATGTGATTTTTTTTTTTTTTTTGAGAAATGAAGTTTCTCGTATTCAACTGGGTCCAAGGGGCTTGCAGACCACTCTAATAAAGACATGAGAGAAGGTCGGATTTACTATTTTTCCATTCCTTTTTCCATTAACTGCAAACTTACAGCTATAGATTTTTTTTTTCAGTGTTCTTTCTTTCCTCTTTATGGATTAAAAACAGTACACTGATATATAACAATTTCCCACAAAGACATATGATTCATTAAGAAAAACACCTAATTTACCTCGGTTTGTTGTATTTAAGTATTATTTCAACATTAGCCACAAAAGAGTAAAAGATCAATTTTTAAAAGAAGGAAGGCTACAGCATTTAAAAGATTGTTTTTAAAAAAGATGTTGCTTTGGAACTATTGAGAGCATTTCCAAGAAGGCCTGTCATAGAGAAGAGGAGGTCGACTTATTTTCCAAAGCCCTCCACCTGAGAGCAGGACCAGAAGCAATGAATGGAAGCTCATTAAAAAGAGATCCAACCTGGAACCAGGGAGACATTTCCTAACAGTAAGAGCAATTAACCAATGGAACAGCTTGTCTCCCAGAGTTGTGGATGCTCCATCACTGAAAGTTTTCAAGAATAGATTGGCAAACTATTTGTCTGAGATGGTACAAAGTCTCCTGCCTTGAGCAGGGGGTTGGACTAGAAATCCTCCAAGATCCCTTCCAAACCTATGATTCTATTATTCTGTTCTATTCAATTCTTTTCTGTTCCACTCCACTCCACTCTTCCTCTGTTAACAATACTGAACGAGTGAAAAATTGGCTATATCAAGCATGAGATGCATCTGCCAAGGTATCTCATGTGTCTTTTACATGGATAATCTGAGACTATATGGAAAAACATTGTCCACATACACAGCCAATGCAGTTTGGATTGGACAAATATGCCATTTTTACCATCAACAGGGAAAACAATGAAAACTGAAGGAATCAAGATACTCTATGGAAATAAAAGTCTGGACCAGAGGTGTCCAACTCGATTTCATTGAAGGCTGCATCAGGGTTGTGGTTGACCTTGGGGGGCTGGGGTAGGCATAGCAGGGGTGGGCGTGGCCAGCTCAACATCACTTGTGTCGGGGGGCACCCGTGGTGGACTGGGCTGGGGGGATTCATTGTCTCCAGAGGAGGAAGGCAAGACCAGGGTGAGCACCATACACTTGTCCACCAGAGGAGCCTTGCAAAGGATTCTCAGTGATGCAGGCTGCCCGGAGCCCTGGCCAGTGGAGGGCAAGCACCCAATCCAGCCTTTCCCAAGTGGGCACCCAGCTGCGCTTACCTCCTCCTCAAGGCTGCTGCTGATTGGCTCCTTCTCCTTGGCCAAGTTGCTCATGGTATGTGCAGGAGGGCAAAATGTGTTGGTCAGAGGGAGGCCCAGTCCCTCTCCCTGCGAGGAAACACAGCTTTCTAACCAAAGCATCCTCAGTGATAGGATGGGAGACCACCAGGAGAAGCCAGGAGGCAGGGACAAGGAGATGGCGAAAGGGCAGCAGGACTGCTCGTGGCCAAGTGCTAAGGCAGGACTTCCCTCAGACCCTCCCTCCCTCTCATTATAATCTTCCTTCTTTCCTTCCTTCCTTCCTTTCCCTCGTTTCCTTCCTTCTTCCTTCTCCTTTTCTTGTTCCTTCCCTTCTTTCCTTCTTTTTGTTTGTCTTTCCTCTTTCCTGTCCCTTCTTGGATGCTCAAATGCAAAAAGGGGAGACATTTCTTGATGCCTCCTTGTCTTGTGATCAAATACCACTTTTGCTAGTAGTCTGTGGTATTGGTGGAAGGGGGGTGGTGCTGATCTACAACCTGGTTGAATCCATCAAAGCAAGAACGCATGGGCTTCTGGTTCTGGATCGCGGGTCTGGCGGACGTGCGGGGCGATCGCTCCCTCCGCCGTCCGGTTTTCTCTCACTGAGGGATACTGAAAGGGGTCGAAAGTTGCCTTGGAGAGGCGACGAGGAGGGAAGAGGACTCCGACTGATTGCAGAAGGGCGGCAGCCCTTCTGTTTGATCCAGAGCAGCTCTTCGAACCAACAGAGAAAAGATCGGCCATCCACATGGCCCATCATTAATGCCGTTTCCAGCCGAGGCCAAACTCAGCACTTGAAAGCACCGCGGAAGAACTGGGTGAGACCCTACCTTCTTTTTACCCCAAATATTTTTTCCTGTAAAAGCTCTCTGAAATTGATTCCCCCTGTGAGGAGAGAGGGAAGGGAACATCTTTTTCCCACCCTCTAAAATAGTGGCGGTTGCCTACATTGGGAAGATGAAACCTTGAAAAATATATTTAAGTAATTGGACTTAACATGTTTTCTGGATCTGGCTACCCAAAAAGTTCCTACTTTCATGGGAACTGGCTATTTTAACTACTTGGGGAAAAAAGCTGGATAAAAGTCTAGCCCAGTGGTAGTGAACCTATGGCACAGGTGCCAGAGGCGGCACTCGGAGCCCTCTTTGTGGGCACACGTGCTGTTGCCCGAGCCTTGCCTCCCCCCGTGACCCCTCCTCTCCAGCAGTCCCCCTGAAGGAGAGTTGCCCCCAAGCGTGGCCCACATGGAGCAGCACAG